CTTGGCCTGCTGTGTTCATCCAGCTCTACACCTTGTTATCTTTGCCATGGATAGTGTTGGGTTTACTGTGTGTTGTTGGAGCTGCACTTATCTAGGCATGTGGGAAGTATTCTATCACACTCCTGAATTGTGCTTTGTAGATGATAGACTGGCTTTCAGGGTGTAAAGAGAAACTAACAGCTAAAGAAGTTTGGATACTTCCAGTTTTCAAAGAAATAGCTCAGAGGGGTTAATGTGAATATGTATAGGACTCAAAAATATTGAATGAAACCCTGACAGTAATACAAGATAGCACGAGTTTCAAAGTTTTAATCTTCTTAGACCTGTGAGGATGAATTTCCATTTTACTCCCGCAATGGAATGTACTCATGATGTAGTGGTGAAAGTGTAATGGAGAGGTAGTTGGACAGGAGACATTTTCTGAGGGAGAGAGACTGATTAGATTTCTTACTCAAAGAGCCAGCACAGGAATGACAGATCAAATGACCTCCTGTCCCGCATGTCTCTATGAATTTGTAAAGCTTTCTTTCTTAATCTCACTTCCTTTGTTGATGACTGCGTAACTAATCAAAAATCATTTTAGTTTTTGTGGTCATTACATTAAACACTGACAGACTCAAAAGCCTCGAACACTTCATGCTCAAATCACTTACGTCACTCAGAGCTTTCTGAGCATTGGCAACTCGTCTCAGCTCTGGACTGTCACTATAAGGATAATAGAAAGTCTTTTCTTCTTCCCAGGCCTCTTTATATAATTTCTTCATGGGGAGAAAAACAATCAATATTAATTTAAGTGTGGAATGAAATCTATAACTCTAATAGCGACATGCTACCTGGCATCAAAATAATTGTTTTTTCATAAAATGAATGCCGATATTGAAAGTGGAAATGCTTCTTGCCCCTAGTACAGCAACAGTTCAAAGTAATGATCAATGAGGTATTCGGTAGCTCACTGGTGCCTTGAGTAACAGAACTTGACAAGATAAGATATGCTTTTGAAGAATTAAGAAGCTGGAAACTGTGGTCTAGTAATCTTCATTTGTCTACTTCAATTCTGATCTTGTATTTCCATTGTGTGGGTATTTTCTGTAGGAGACATTTCACTGTCGGCAAATATTATGCTTTTACCATTTTTTGATATACTTGAAATGGCTTCCCAGAAGATAATAACGAACATTTTGACCTGGAAGACTCCTAGGTGCAATTGCTCACTGATATGCCAGGGTCATAGCCACAGCGAATCGATACCACCAAAGCTGACAGGCACTGAACACCAAACAGGACCAAGCCTTAGTATGGTCTCAGAGCTAAGAGAGCACCCTAGAGCACTTCCACCAACCCCTCTCCCTCCCCCCCACCACCTACAAAAGACACCAGAATCAAAGGTAAGGGGGAGGAAAGGGGCAGTGGTGTGTGTTGTAAAATCTTCAGGTAGCAGAACTATCTCAATACACGTGCTGCCCATGAACACCTTCAATCCCCCGATGTACCCTCATCCTCTACTTACCTTTACAAAGGCCTTCTGAACACAATTTTAACATCTCCATATTTCAGAGATCTGGATCCCCAAATTTACTTGAACCCAAGCTGGACCTGCTTGCTCTGGACCAGCTAGTTGTCCCTGGTGAAGTCAAGTAAAAGAATATGATCTGCAGTGAGATCCAGGGCACCAGTACTTGCAACTTTGAGTCTCCTCCCTTGGTACTGTAACTTCTTACCAAAAGGTCTTGCTGGGTCTGGCTGAGACCTCACCTTCACAAGGCTACCCCAAAGAACTGCAAATTTTCAAAGCTCAGCTTCACTGGCAATCCATCAAAACTCACCCCAGAGTCAAACCTGCTCATTATCAGTTCAACCCCTCTCTTAGGCACCAGGGCAACTAAGTTATTCATTTGCAGAATGAATTTTGTCAGAAAGCAATGTTACAATTCTGACAAAAGATGAGGAAGATCGCAAAGGTGATACTTGCTTGGCATTTGATACTGCTTAGTTTGATTAGATTTCTTTACCGGACTGAAGTTTTCGGCAAATTTCACAGCTCGGACGAGCTCAGGAGCATCTGGTGGCAGTTGATAAACATCCTTGGTGTCTTCCCATTTCTTTTTGTACAACACCTGAAGCAGACAGTTCAGTAGATATGTCAATAGGCATAATAAGGAGATTCCACAAATTTGTATTACACAAAAAATGATTTAGGGTGTAAACCAGATCCGTTCTATGTGTTGACAGCCTAATGTTGGTGATATTACCTTGCTAACCAACTGCGAAACATTTTTGGCGTGTTCAATATCCCGGGCCGACCCATCAACGTGGCAAATCGTCTTTGCCTTGTCACCATCTGAACGATACTTGACCTTTATAATTTAAATAACAAATTAATCAGAGGGCTACCCGAGCCTGGATCATTGAGCATATTCAAGGCTGAGATAGACAGACTTTTCATCAGTAAGGGAATTAAGGATTTGGTGGGTAAGGCAGTAAAGTGGAGTTGAGGATTATCAGATCAGCCATTTCATTGAATGGCAGAGCAGACTTAATGGGCTGTGATAGGCTGCTTCTTCTCCTACATCCATGATTTTAAGGGGTTGTGGGAGTTGTAAATTCTGGTAACTACAGTAATAGAAAACTGTACTTCTAACTTTGTGACCTTTACTTGAATGAGTCTCTATGCAGTGATATGCTCAGGGTGATCAAGCTCAATTATGTACAGAAAATCGAGATTCAAGAGAAACATCTCTAGAGAGAGGTCCTTTCCATCAAATTTCAGGCGTACTCTTTTATTGGTATTTGGTCCCAATGGCATTGCTGAGCTGAAGGATAACAAATTTGCGGCAGGGATATTATCTTGTATTCATTTCATGTGTGGTAGTAATGGCAGAACCTGTCTTTCACAAATTGCTCTCTGCAGCCGTCAGTAAAGGTTACTATATAAAGCTTTTCCCATCTCAAACAGGTCTGATTTGGGGAACGCTCATCATGTCATGTAGATGCAAGGATGCTAACCTGAGTAATGCATGAATCAGAAAAGTTTCAAGTTCAAGGTGGAGCAAGGGTTAGTGCAAGTGATGGGACAGGGAGAAAAAAAGGGAACTAATTAACATTGGAAAATGTATTTTAACCAATATATAGATCAGTTTTGATAACTACAAGCCCAAATGGACAAGGCAACCTTGTCAAATCCATTTTCTTCACCTCACTCAGCTGTTCCTGAGCCTTCCGAATTCTCTTCAGCTCCGGAGTGTCTGAGATAACGGCATAGGGCTTTCCTTTCTCCTTCTCAAATTCTTCCTTGTACTTGTTCTAAAAGCAACCACATTGGTTTAAGTCAGAATTGCAAAAATCCATTGATACTGTGACAATTGTTGGGAAAAAACACACGCATTTCTCAAATGTTCATTTTGATGCTCATTGACTCTGCTCTCCCCAAGGTACAATGTCATTTCGGGTGAAAATTATTGTACTACTGACAGTGCTTCCATCACCCAGCAGGTTCTGGGGAAAGATGAGTACCTTAAAAGGTTCTACAAGCTGCAGAATGTTAATTAAACCAAAGCCAGAACCAGATAGGAATGGTTTGGTGCCATGTTGCAGATCACAACAAAACACTGGGGGTCGGCTCCGGTCCTGTCCCTTCAATGACAGCCAAAGTTCTTGGGGGACGGAAATGGAGACTTGAAAAGGGTTTCACATTAAACCATGGAAAAATACATGCTTTCATTATTTTGAAAAGTTATCACAAGTTACAAGATGAAAAATAATGCTTCACTCAGAAAACAATTGATGACTAACAGAGGAAATTAGAGTGGACATCTTGCATGCCTATTTTCCCACCTGATTTAATTTTCAACATGGTTTTTAAAAGGGCACCCAGATACCTTGTCCATTACAAAGAGGACCTGTTTAAATTGAGTCCTACATTGGTTGTAGGAAGACAATTGTAAATATTTGCCTAATCAATCAATTCAGAGATGTTATTATGCATCTCTTGAGCAGGTGGGAGTTTTTTTTATTTATTCATTCATGAGATGAGGGCATCGCTGGCCAGGCAGCATTTATTGCCCAGCCCTAATTGCCCAGAGCGCAGTTCAGAGTCAACCACATTGCTGTGGGTCTGGAGTCACATGTAGGCCAGACCAGGTAAGGATGGCAGTTCACTTCCATAAAGGGCATTAATGAACCAGATGGGTTTTTCCTGACAATCGACAATGGATTCATGGTCATCATTAGACTCTTAATTCCAGATATTTATTGAATTCAAATTTCACCATCTGCCATGGCAGGATTTGAACCAAGGTCCCCAGAACATTAGCTGGGTCTCTGGATTAACAGTACAGCGATAATACCACTAGGCCATCGCCTCCCATATTTAGACACAAGCCTACTGGCTCAGAGGTAGGGACACTACCACTGCACCACAAGAGCCTCAAGGACCACAACTGTAACTTTAATGTACAAATGGGCTGTGAGTCTGTTGAATGAGGTAATCTATTAGTTAACCATGTAACCATTTATTGGTTAGTAACTACAGCTTACAGAGTCTGATACGGGAAAATAAACTGGCTTTTTTCAGACTTGAGGTACATTTTACCGCAGAGAATAGGACAGCTGTTCAGTTGCCTATTGTTGGCAGGCAGAAGGCCTTTGTCATCAACAAGTGGCCATCATTTCATTGACCAATCAGCCATTTATTATCAGCTGAATTTCCATTGTACACATTCCTTTATCTCCAACATTCCTGGTTAACCTCACTCACTGCTCAGTCATATAACAGCGTGAACAGCAATAGCAATGGGTGTCAGGTAACTTTATTTTAAAATGTGTAGGATATCCTTCCACAACCCTTGGATTTTAAAGTCTTAATGTCTTAATGCACAGAGCATTTACAATAAGATAGATGAATTAGCAGCACAAATAAATATAAATGGTCTTGATATAGTTGTGATTACAGAGACATGGCTGCAAGGTAACCAAGGACAGGAAGAGAAAAACCAGAGGTACTTATTATTAAGGATGGACAGACAAAGGAAGGGACATTGTTAATAAAGGATGAATTCAATGCAATAGTGAGGAAGTGTCACAGAAAATCATGGTGTGAAATCTGTGGAGATGGAGATAAGAAATACCATAGAGCAGAAGGAATGGTTGGGGGGATTGTCTCTAGGTCCCCAAACAGTAGTGGAGATTTAAGGGAAGGTATTAAACAAGAAATGAGAGATGCATGTAATAAGGGTACAACTGTAATCACATGAGACTTTAATTTACATATAGGTTGGGTAAACCACACTAGCAATGGTGTTGTGGAGGAACATTTCCTGGAGTGTATACATGACAGTTTTTTTAGACCAACCATTGAGAAAGCAACCAGAGAACAGGTCAATTTAGGCTGATTACTATACAATTATCAATCTTATTACATAGGGTTCCTTGGGCTTAAAGGGGTGAATGGCCTATTCCTGCTCCTAGTTTCTAGTTTGTAAGCATGTTATTTGGCCAACTATTTTACAAAAGAAAAACAAAGCATATTTATAGTAATGTCTTCTCTTGACAATTCTCATTGTACCAACTCAATGTGCTTCAATACTACAAGTTGTTTATTTAATATCTTAGACGTAAGTGGGCAAAGCTCATTTGGTGCTTCTGAAACTTAACCAATAAATGTATACACGAAGTATGCAATTCAAATTTCTTACCGAACTGAACAGGTCCTTCATCTTATCACTGTGTTCAAGGTAAGGAGTTGAAAACTTTGACTTGTCTACCTTCTTCCTCCTTCTCACTTCTCTGACAGGTAGACCTGAGCCAGACTTATGAACCTTATACAATGAATAAATTATTATTAGCTCTACACAATAAACTAAAAAAAATAAACTTTCAATAATCAGTTAACTTGTCACTTATGCTTACCTCTTGAACAACCGTGTATGGTTGTGTAACCTGTGAGAAAGAAAA